TTTGAAGACATCATCAGGGAAAAGGGGACATTAAACACTGCATTTGTAACTGGGCAATTAGTAAAGAAGGCAGAGAAATTTTGTGTGGTACTATACAAATATAATCAGCTTCTTTTTCATAGCAAAAGCTCTGGAGGTACTTGCTGATTTTTGTTTTTACCTATTTTTGGTTTAATTCGATGAGGCTATGTTTCACTCATGGCACAGTGGGGAAATTTTTTTCTTTTTCATTTTTTAATAAGAAATGAGGAAAAGACACAAATATTAACTTCACTATATCACTGGTGACAGCATAATGTAAGTTTATTAACGTGTGCAAATCCAGTACAATATATTTTATTTTTAATTGTTTTTATGGTTGCTCTTTGCACATTACTGATTAGGGATGGGCGGCTATACAAATTGAAGAAATAAATACATAAATTTAAAAAGGGAGGGGAAAGGAGGTGACATGGAAAAAAGCCAATTCAAACAAATCTTACAGAATGATTCCATAGATGAATCCTGAATGAAGAAGGCCATGAATCCTACTCTTAGTGTCTATATCAAAAAACAGAGTAATAAAGGAAGGAATCATAAACTCAACCTTGTCTGGAAAATCCAAACAGATTTATGATACATCTCAGAAATAGATTAAATATCCCAGGATCATTGTAGCAGGCAAAAGAAGAATAGAAGCCAGGCCGAAGCTTGTTTCTTAGCAGTAAAGGAACTTGCTGAGGAAAAAAAAACATGATATGGCAGCAGAATGATGATATGGATTAACATGAATGTTTTTCTCAGGAATGCCTAGGGAAGAACTGTGATCATTTGGATTGCTTGACTGGTTATGAAAGTCTCCAGATGAAAGAGTTTGTAAAGGATAGATGCGGTATTGGTAAGCTAATCATTTCTGCTGAAATGGACAGAAATCCTGTGGACCAACACACAATTGTTTTTAACTGCCTCAGTGGCAGTCGGTTGGTTTCCCTGACACAATTAATTTATTTCCACTTGAAATAGTTGATGCTTCTATTATAAAGACAAGGCCTAGTGATGTTCAAGTGTACCAGTGCTACCCTTGTAAAAATGCCAAAATATCTACTAGTAGCCATGTTAAGGAAGTTAAAGTTTGACAAAAATACCAGCTGGTCTAATGCTGCCAGTGCCTAAAAGAGAAAAAGAAATGCATGTAAATGTTATGAAATTTTTAATTCTGTTTTCCACTAATGTCACACACACACACACAAAGTGACTGTTGTACACACAAAATACATCCATCATCTATTCCTTTTTTAAGAGTAAGCATTGTTATATAAATTGCAGAAAAGAAGTGAGAAGAAATGGGCAAAAGAAACTAAAGACAGGGATAAAGGAAAAAAGATAAAGAATTCTAACTAAATCCAGACTGACCTAAACTGGATCCTGTAACTAAATCTATCAATAGCAATCACTATACCTCACCATTTGTTTTATTCACAGTCATTCAGCAGTCATACATTCTTGACCCAGACATGCTTTCGAAAAACTTGTTCTTGTTGCATTTAACTTACTGTTATGCTTTTACTGATACAAAGTAGGCAGAAATACCTCTCACACACAGACACTTTCACTTCCTTCAACATTGATTCATTCCTCACAACAAATCACATACAACTGCCAGCAGAATAATATTCCAGAGGGAGGGGGCAACAGGACCCAACAGCCAAAATTCTTTGGCAGAAGGATTCCAGAGTAGGCCTCTTCTGCTGGAACTAATAGGCCAAGATAGTCTCATTGGGGTGAGATGGATCCTAAGAAGCCCTGGAATAGCAGAACACCTTCACCAATAAGTCCATCAAAATTAGGGTTCACCTAAATTTTAAGGCAATAAAAATCCCCCTTCAAATAAAAATTAATATACTTGGATTTCAGTAAAACGTTTGACAAAGTAGACCACAACCTACTTCTTGGTAAGCTAGAAAAGTGTGGGATAGACAGCATCAACACCAAATGGATTTGTAACTGGCTGACAAATCATACTCAACGTGTAGTCCTCAATGGAACTACATCTACATGGAAGGAATAAGCAGCGAGATACCCCAAGGTTCCATTTTAGGCCCAGAACTCTTCAATATCTTCATAAATGATTTAGATGAGGGAATAGAAAGGAAATTGCAGACGACACTAAGCTAGCAGGAATAGCCAACATCCCAGATGATAGGCTTAAGATCCAGATGGACCTCGACAGACTTGAACACTAGGCGCTATCCAACAAAATGAAATTCAGTGTAGAGAAAAGTAAGCTCTTACACAAGTTTATATTCTGTTAACTTAGTTCAACCCACAGTTCAACTCAGTTCAGCAAGAACTCGCCAAGAATTTAGTTCAATCCTGAGCTACAGATTTTCTCTTCCTTTGAAATCCAAAATATGAATTCAATAGAAAATCATACTCTGGTTATAAATGTATTTTCTAACAATAGATATGTGGGATGTGTCTTTCACTCAAAGAACAGTACACCAAGTGGTGTGCAATTTTCTTAGGAACATTGTCTTTGTGTACCTTGTTTCCAAATACAACAAATAGCTGCAGTACCAAGGATAGCTCTGGAGGAAGCATTTTCCTTCAATAAGCTTTGTAAGAGTTCTGTCCTTTTAATTCACTTGCTGCAAACCAGGCAGCTTACCTGTATATAGAAATAGATGATCCTTACTGCTTGGTGCATTTCTTGACAAAGTAGAAGTAATGGCATAATAGGCACTAGGGGGTAGGAACCTGAAGAGTTTTAAACTTTGAATGTCTTCTGGCTTTGGCTCAGGATCAGGGATCTAGATGAAATTTTCAGACAGAAGCTCAGGCTGCTTATCTTTCTTCTTCAGACTTAAAACTGAATGCATGACATAAATAAGACGTAATGGTTTCCTCTTTATGAGTATGTGAATTTACTGAGCAATCACGAATGAAGGCGAATATACGTGTCCCAGGATAATGTTGCAGGATCCAATCTGGGTCGGTCACCAGGACCAGAGGTTTCATCTTCCAAGCTTTCCAACTGGTGCTGGAGCCCATCTTCAGGGAACTTCTCTCTCGCCTCCTCTCTAGTCTTATTGAACAGTTTTTAATCCCTTTCAAGTAATATGGCCTCCCAATTTTCAGTTTTAGAATTGTAATGCGAGGCAAAAGACTCCCCAATGACAGGTGAGATGCTAAGGAATATATCAATAGAATGTCAACAGAGTTAGTCAGAAACTATAAAATCATCCTTTCTGTTGCAATCCATGTTCAAATACTGGCTTTAAGACGGATCACAGGAACCTCACATTTCATTGCAGTTCACTGTCTCAGAATAGAAATAGGAATAGAACAGAACAGAACAAAATAGAATAGAGCTGGAAGGGACCTTGGAGGTCTTGTAGTCCAGCCCCCTGCTCCAGCAGGAGAACCTATACCATTTCAGACAAGTGACTGTCTAGCCTCTTTTTAAAAATCTCCAGTGATGGAGCGCCCATGATTTCTGGAGCCAAGCTGTTCCACTAGTTAATTATTCTAACTGTCAGGAAGTTTCTCCTTAATTCCAGGTTGCTTCTCTCTTTGTTCAGTTTCCAACCATTGTTTCTCGTCCTGCCCTCTGGTGCTTTGGTGAATAACGTAACCCCCTCTTCTTTGTGGCAGCCCCTGAAATACTAGAAATGTGACAATGTTTTCTGAAAGGAAAATGTCTGGAGTTTCTTTTACAATGTTTGTTTTTCTATTATCTAACAAAGATGTAAGAGATCCGAGCATTGTTAACTATTATATTTTTTATGTTTTAGTATTACATTGACACACACACACACACATTGCATTATAATACTTTAAACAAATTAACAGCTTTAAAAAAATTAAAATAAATTTGTTCGATAAAATATATCTATAGCCTCCTGCCTTTCTCCATATATCCTAAAAGTATTTTGCTTGAAAAAAGCTGGATGGATTTATTTTAATATCAGTAATTAGAAGACATTGTTCAATAAATGTTGAAATCTTACATGCACTGCTATTCACTGCTATAGTGCTGAAGTACACTAGCTCAGGCAGGGACACTGATATCGTCAGTAGCCACCCAACACCCGCCAGGCTCATGGCTCCTGCCCACCTCAAAACACAGGTGAGCACATTTCTGAGCATCTCTGTTTGGACCCACCCAGCTCTTGGTAATATTTCTTGGGAATAATTGTCAATATAGAATACTGTGGTTTTCTGATACAGCAATGTATGTTCATTTTGTTTTGTATCATTTGCATTTATGACATGCCTATATTAACCCTTTTAAAAATGTGAATATATGAAATATTATTGATGTACAATGATTTTACAATTTGAAAACGTATATAATTTTGAAAAATTTTTTTGAAAGTTTGGAGATAGATTTGCTATTTTGGGGTTTTTTTTTCTAAACACTTATAGAAATACATTGAATTCTGATACTATTTGTATAAATATATCATAATGCTAGGTAGCATTATCAACCATAGCACTGTTCAGCTAACACATACGCAGTTCCTGTCCTTCCAGTTCTGAGTTTAGGTATTTTGCTATTGGACAGCATGCTCGTGCCCTTGTGAACTAAGTCAATGCGTATCTAAGACATGAATTGTATTTACACAGGAAAATAAGGCAAGAGTGTTCATTAATTTATTCATTGGTATTTTGTTTTTTAAATTCCAGTAAAAATAGTGCAAGTTCATTTTTCTTTCAAAGTCTGGAACGGTTATCCAGAAATCAGCAGATGGCTGGAATTCAGGGATGATTCTTTATCAATGAAGAATGAAAAAATATTTTAGATTTGATTGCATGCAATGATGAAGAGTCTAAAATGTAAATATAGACAATTTTTCAAACTGTTGTCAGTTCATTTTGAAACTGTAGTTTTTAAGTGGTGTTCAAGATAAAATGTTGTGTGCTGAACCATCAAGAATAATAAAATAATAGATTCTTCTTCTCTTCCTCCTCCTCCTCCTCCTCTCCCTCTCCTTCTCCCTCTCATCTTTGTTGTTCAGGTCCTGGACTGGATTGAAAACCATGGGGAGGCCTTTCTTAGTAAACACACTGGAGTGGGAAAGTCTCTTCACAGAGCACGAGCTCTTCAGAAAAGGCATGATGATTTTGAAGAAGTAGCACAGGTAAATGTGTGAAAGTTCTGTGTATTTTACTGTAACTGCGAATACCTTTGTACCGCTTCAATGTGTTTTCTTTCAGGTTTGGGAACTTTGCGGTCTCAGACACTGCTGGGGATTCCATTTTAAGCATATGAAATAAATAGCATGTGGATATCTGAAGACTGAAATCCATAAGCATCCCAGATTCAATAGACCTAGAAAATGGCTACAGGAACTAAGATAATTTAGGTTTGCACTTTGAGACATGGCAAAGAGGGGGGTTGGTATCAAAACAGTTTCAGTGTTCAAGGATAACATGATCTCAATCTTTTTTTATCCTGAGTTCTGTTCTGAGTATATGGTGATTGTGAAAATACTTCCAAGTCAATCTTGCCAAGAATCTCCAAGACTTTTGAGCTGAGAAAACTATATAATTTTGGCACTGTTTAGCAATGGCTCTCTAATCAGCTATTTCTTTCTCTTTCATCACACACGGAATCAATTACAGAAACTAAGCTAGACTAGTAGCAGTTAAAGTGTGTAATGGAATCCCAAAGAGATCGGTATAAAGAATAATCTAAGGTAGGGGTGTCAAACTACCAGCCCGTGGGCCGGTTTCATCATACCAGCTCCGGCAATGCAAAAAAGTCATGATACATCGCAACACGTCACGTGATGTGGCGAGTTTGACACCCATGATCTATGGTGTGGTTTAATACCAACATTGTTTAATTTGCAGTTAAAACTATCATTTTTTAAATCTTTTATTTGATACCTTTGAGTGAGCCTTGACATGTCCTGGCAGGTTTCATGGCAAGATTTCTGAAATGTGTTGCCATTGCCTCCTTCCTAAGTTTGAGAAAGAGTGACAAGCTTAGGATCACCCAGTTGGCTTTGTGCCTAAGGCAGGCCTAGAACTCACCATCTCCTTGTTTTTCTAGCCTGAAGCCTTAACCTTTCTACCAAACTGGTTGTTATCAAAAAAAATTAAAGGGTGAAATAATTTGCTGATGATATCAAGCCCTGTCTTTGCTTGCAGTACCTGAAAGTGCCATTTCAGTCCTGAACAGTTTTCTGAATGCTATGGCCATGTTGACGGAATTGAACAAATCAAATTTAAATCCATAAATTAGAGATTATACTGTTTTGAATTATAAGCAGTTAAGAGAGAATTGCTATGCCCATGATAAATGGATGCTTATATTTTTTTCTTAGATTTGGCTCTTCTAGATACTAGTAAACCTTGGCTAGAAGACATTTGTAAAACATTCATCTTCTATGGGTTTTTCTGAAGAGCCACTATGTGCTATTTTTACAACTTCTACATTTGTCCACGGTAATTTGCTATATATGATGCTAACCTGAACAAAGACCTGTTGCAATTGATCATGAACAGACATGTGCATATATACAATATGTCTCTATATAGCTATCTAGGGGGATATGTCTCCCTTTCGTCCAAGATTGTTAAAGCCTCTCTTTTTATTGGTTTGGGAAATATTTACTCTCATTGGAAACATTTCACAAAATACGTGGACAGGTTTCACATCCTTTGTATCATTGTATGCCATAGGCAAAATATAGAAAAGGAATGTGCCTGGTCTTTGCACTAACTTTTTCCAGTTCTTAGTTCCTAGATTGCTTTTCTCAAAAGGGGTCTTCATATGACTATTTCCCAGATATCTAATTGTAAGTAAGTGACTTTATTGCAGATGTATGGTTTTAGCAACACCGCATCACTTATCAAAAGCATGAGCAGAAGGATTGTCCAGCTAGACACAAGACACTTAACATTTAACTGCCGTCAGCAGATAAAATATAAACCAATACAACAGTACTATATTTTTTCCCCTGAAAAATGGCCTTCACAGCTGACTGCCACCATGATTCTTCATGTATCACTGTTTGCTATGTTACTTATGGACCTTCTTCCAGCAAGAAGCAAATCATTTCGCTGTTTAGAACTCTAGCTTCGCTGAATCAGTAAAGCAGGTTCTGAATGCTATGTACAGTTTGCATATCAGAATATCATAAATTAGATCTTCCATCTGTAGAGCACCCAACACTTAGCTGTTGTTACTCCTTCATATCTTCCATCCAGATACATTGAATGCATAGAGTGGAGTTCTAGACACATTAAGGCCTAGAGACAAATAGACATTCACTATACAATCAGCCAGAACCAATAATGAATAGTTTATAATGAAGAGAAGGACGAGGGGTGACATGATAGCTATGTTCCAATATCTCAGTGTTGCCACAAAGAAGAGGAAGTCAAGCTATTCTCCAAAGCACCTGAGGGCAGGACAAGAAACAATAGATGGAAACTAATCAAGGAGAGAAGCTACCTAGAACTAAGAAGTGATTTCCTGACAGTTAGAATAATTAATCAGTGGAACAACCTGCCTCCAGAAGTTGTGAATGCTCCAACACTGGATGTCTTTAAGAAGAGATTGGACAGCCATTTGTCTGAAATGGTGTAGGGTTTCTTGCCTGAGCAGGGTATTGGATTAGAAGACCTCCAAGGTCCCTTCCAGCTCTGTCTATTCTATTCTATTCTATTCTATTCTATTCTATTCTATTCTATTCTATTCTATTCTATTCTATTCTAGCAACACTATATTAAATATTATGTTCCTGTCCTTAAAATTGTCCATGGACAATATAGTTCTTATGTTTATGCTTAAAACCTGGAATATATGTATTCCACAGTTAAGGAACAAATGTTAAAATACCGTAAACAGGACTGGGCCAATGTCGTGCTTCTAACTGGTTCTGCAAGCACTGTCTGGCCAATAAGAATCTGGTATATTAACTATTCTTTTAAAGAACAGAAACACAGACTTTACCCTCTTCAGTGATCTAAAGCAGGTCCATTTCCATCCTTGATAATACAGGACTACCTGATAAAGGGGTCAAGTACATTTTTAGAAATTACTCCATATCAGTTCCAAATGTTCCAATTTTCCCATTCTCCATTTAGCAATTGCAGAATTACTTCTGTTGAGAATTATTATTTTGACTGAATGAGATGAGAGGAGGAGAAAGAGGAGAGGGAAGATACTTTAGATCTAATGTGCTGCAGCTGCCAAAAAAGCCAACACAGTGCTAGGCTGCATTAACAGAGGGATAGAATCAAGATCACGTAGAGTATTAATACAACTTTACAATGCCTTGGTAAGGCCACACTTGGAATACTGCATCCAGTTTTGGTCACCATGATGTAAAAAAGATGTTGAGACTCTAGAAAGAGTACAGAGAAGAGCAACAAAGATGATTAGGGGACTGGAGGCTAAAACATATGAGGAACAGTTGCTGGAATTGGGTATGTCTAGTTTAATGAAGAGAAGGATGAGGGGGGACATGATAGCAGTATTCCAATATCTCAGGGGCTGCCACAAAGAAGAGGGAGTCAAGCTATTCTCCAAAGTGCCTGAAGGCAGGACAAGAAGCAAAGGATGGAAACTAATCAAGGAGAGAAGCAACCTAGAACTAAGGAGAAACTTCCTGACAGAACAATTAACCAGTGGAACAACCTGCCTCCAGAAGCTTTGAATGCTCCAACACTGGAAGTCTTTAAGAAGAGATTGGACAGCCATTTGTCTGAAATGGTATAGGGTTTCCTGCCTGGGCAGGGGGTTGGACTAGATGATCTCCAAGGTCCCTTACAACTATTATTATTATTATTATTATTATTATTATTATTATTATTATTATTATTATTATTATTATTATTATTATTATTATTATTATTATTATTTGCTGCTAACAGCATTCACTCTGTTTGTCCTATGCAAAGCTTTGACTGAAAGCAGGCAGGCAGGCAGAGAGGAAATTTGCAAGTGGTCTTTATTTGTCTTGTTGTAAATTACTCATTATAGCTGAGGAGAGATAAACCCTTCCAAGGAGTCATAAATCCAAGAGAGATCTGTTTAATGCAGTAAACAGTTTTTGCTAAAATAACAATGGATATGGGCTGGATATAGTCATAAAGCTGGAAAACACAGTTGCCTATAAAACAGATAACAGATTTAGTGCTGGTGAGGGAAGCTGGTCCAAGATCAAGCTGAAAACCTATCCAGAAGGCAAGGAACAAGAGGAACATGGAAACCAAAGATGCAGAAAAGTAGATTAAAAAGCAAGAGTGTTGCTTTCAACAAAGCCTGGAGAACAGGCTTTGTCTTCTTAGGAGAATTGATACTTTTTCCTTTTGAGGAGTCATGTATCTTCAATTCCTGGTTCTGTTTAGCAGGCAGCATGTTTCAGGGTCTGATACTCTGCCAAGGTCAGGATTCAAAACCTTGCTATCAGCATCAACAATCACATATACTGGGTCTGACTTATCACTTACAATTCTGCTGATAGCCAGCAGAATTCCTATCTATCTATCTATCTATCTATCTATCTATCTATCTATCTATCTATCTATCTATCTATCTATCTATCTATCTATTTTACAATTTTGACTTTTGGCTGGGGCATGCAAATAGATAGGGTGTCAGGGTATTCACCAATGTTTCTAATTTCTCCCTATGTGGCAATAAGAGAGGCTGTCCAGTGCAATATCTATTATTATATTTCAAGTCCTTTGCCCAGGGTTTTGAAGCTACAAACTTAACCATAGGTGTGATTAAGATATGTAGGTCTAGTTTAATATATATGAAAAAAAGGACTAGGGATAGTATGATAGCAGTGTTTCAATATCTAAGGGGCTGCCACAAAGATGAGAGAGAGTCAAACTTTTCTCTAAAACACCTGAAGGCAGGACAAAAAGCAATGAATGGAAACTAATCAAGGAGAAAACCAACCTAAAACTAAGGAGAATTTTTTCTAACAGTCAGAACAATTAATTAGTGGAACAACTTGCCTCCAGAAGTTGTGGGTGCTCCAACACTGGAGGTTTTTAAGAAGAGATTGGACAACCATTTGTCTGAAATAGTATAGGCTTTCCTGTTTGAGCAGGGGGTTGGACTAGAAGACCTCCAAGGTCCCTGATTATTTAAAATCCCATAGCTTAGTCTTTC